GTATGTTGTTAAATGGTTACTTCTTCTGTGAAATAGAGATGACTGAAGTTTGATAATATTTAGGTACTTTGTTACTTTGTCTGAAGTAGGGAGCTTCCTGTAAAGTTATAAGAAAACCAGTATGACATTGTCAGAATTAATTCGGGTATGTCTTGATTTACATGATGACTGTCTTCAAGGAAGGGAGTGTAAATTGAGACATTTTTCCATAGCCTCTGTTAAAACTGGAGGTTAAGTATCCCTAAGCAGATTTTTTCAATGGAAAATTTTGTGATTTTGACCTCTTGCTGGTTGTTGAAATTGAAATAAGATGGTAACAACACAGAAATGGGATTTAAAGATATGTATATAATAAGATATATGGTAGTAATATGTTTCATGAAACAGCATTATATATGAACTAAGCATGCACACATGCACACACATTGGTAGTCATCAAGAATTCTTAAAGACATCACTTAATTGGCTTGAATTAAGGAGGCTGGAGGATACATTATGGAGGTGCAGGGGGTAGGACAGTGGTGGAGCATTTGTTTTTATCATGTCTGCCCAGCTAACACTAAGACATAAAATAAAATTGTTATGGTTCAGTGGTGCTCTGCATACTTGCAGCAGAGAGATAAGATGGTACATTGTCTGCCTCTTCCATCCACCCAATCATAGGCTTGTTACCCATTTACCTGCTGCTTGCATTGGCTATTTTTTGGGCACAGGCGCAATTAGAAGAGAGGATATAGCACAGGCTTGAGGGGAGGAGGGAATGCATGACATTGCAAGCTCCCTATGTTAGCTGACAAGGCTATGGTAGCTCACTTCACTTGCTTGGTGCTCACAAAACATGCAAGCAAGCTTGAACAGGATGATAAAACACACATTTCTACTTGGGAATATCATGATATTCTTCAAGAATTTAACTTTTATTTTCATTTGAAAATATTTCCAGGAATACTTCCACAACCCAAAAAACATTTTGAAATTATGCCAACCAAATGTAAGAACATCAGGTGATGTTCCAAAAAAGCACCGTTTGTCTTAACTAAGACCCTTAACACTACTGTTTAATTTGGGCATCATCATTTAATGATGATGTATCATCTAGGCAATTCTGTTTTAGATCTGAAACAATTAATTTGATTCTGACTTTGCTGCATGCTAATAATAAATATTCTAAAATTATCATGACAGCTGATTTACTAACTATAGCTAGATGAAGTGATTATTTTTCTCTGGGCACTACAGTTAAATATAACTGGTTTTAATTCTTCATACTGGACACAGTATTACACAGGTCATATAAACATCTCCTTAAGCAGTTACTTATTCAAAATGTGAACATATATAGGGACAACTGTATGTCTGTCCATCTCAAGAACTACTCATGGAATTCTGATGAAATTTGATAGTGGGGATGCTACACTGAATATTGGAAGGTTACTGTAATTTTGCCCGTCGTTCTGTATGGGTGTGAAACTTGGTCTCTGTCATTAAGGGAGGAACACAGACTGAGGGTGTTGAGGAGAATATTTGGACCAAAGAGAGATGAAGTCACAGGAGGTTGGAGAAAACTGCATAATGAGGAACTTCATAACTTGTACTCTTCTCCAAGTATAATTAGAATGATCAAGTCAAGGAGGTTGAGGTGAGCAGGGCATGTAGCATGAATGGGGAGAAGAGGAATGTATATAGGATATTGGTGGGAAAGCCAGAAGGAAAGAGACCACTGGGAAGACAAAGGTGTAGGTGGGTGGACAATATTAAAATGGATTTTTTTAATTCGCTTAGTGGGGGGTTGAGTCCAACCGGGTCCACTCTGCATGGCGGCCACTGATTGTCCTATTGTAGCCTGTCACGGGTGATTATGATGCTGGAGAATTTGGTGGAATGAAGACTGGCAGGGGAAACTGAAGTACTTGGAGAAAACCCGCCCCAGCGCCACTTTGTCCACAAATTCCACTTGACCAGACCCAGGATCGAATCCGGGCTGCTGCAGTGGGAAGCCACCGGTTAACCGCTTGAGCTATGATGCAGCCTAAAATGGATCTTAGAGAGATAGGATGGGATGGTATGGATTGGATTGATCTGGTTCAGTATAGGGACCAGTGGAGGGCTCTTGTGAACACGGTAATGAACCTTTGGGTTCCATAAAATGCTGGGAAATTCTTGAGTAGCTGCAGAATTGCCATCTCCTCAAGAAGGACTCAGCTCCAAAAGTAAGTTGAGCACCAGTCCAATATAATTAATTACTACTTTATGTGAAGCTGAGTAAACACTAATTTATTTTCTGTTTTGTGCAAGGAGTTACTGCACAACATAAAAAATTCATTTCAAACATTTCTTGATATGGTGAATAACTAAATGCAAGGAAAAATAATTTGACTGGGTGATTAACTTTGCAACATCAGATTTCTGTCCTAAATAAATTACCGTAAATATAATGCATTTAGAAAATGTTTACTCCATCAAAATAAACATGCCTCAGATCTGTATACTGCATTCAAATAATTTTTGTGTCAACAGATCCTTGAAAGTGGGGCTGACCTATGTGAAGACACCTGTGACTCACTGCGACGATGTCTACGACAGGTCCATTGCTCCTCCTAACTTTTGCTACTTGGATCAGGTCCCTGAGTGGAATGCTGATGTGATATTGTGCATCTGTATTCATGTTTAACTTTATTTCAGCAGCATTACTATGTAAATACATGTTGTAAATAGTGAAATAATCATTTTCGTGAATTGTTGATTTTATTCTAATGCAAATTTGAATGAATCTCATATACTGTATCTACTGGCACAATTCCTTCAGTGGCAAAATTCCATTGAGAGTGCAGGGAAAATGAGGTTACTGAATGTTAGAAAGCTCTGGAATATTACAAGCAGAAGCATATAGTTGCTCTATTATGTGTGCTGCTGAAACAAAGGGAATTTATGTTTCAAACTTAATGTCCATGTATTTATTGTCTGTCAATATTGCAACACTTGTTTATTCACTACTTAATCTTAATCTTAGTTTAACGTTTTATACACTTTGACACAACATGTTTTGCCCCAAACGGCCATCTGCAGGTGTCTTGATATGTTACAAATATTTTTTAATATTTTTTATATATTAACCTAGGGATCTTATAAATTACAGATTGCAAACATAACTGAAAAGTAGGCTATGAACGAGAAGGGCAAGGTGCCGAAACAAAACACCTGGGACAGGCATACATTTATGAACAATGGACATCACCCCTTGTGAGGTGAAACAGAAATTGTAATGGATTTTATCTTGTTTTACCTTGAAAATAGAACTACGGCATGTGATTTTAACATGAGCTAACACAGTGTAGCAGTTTCAATGTAATTTAAAAGATATTTGTATCATATCAAGACACCTGAAGATGGCCGTTTGGGGCCGAAACATGTTGTGTCAAAGTGTATAAAATGTTAAACTAAGATTAAGATTAAGTAGTGAGTCAACAAGTGTTGCAATACTGACGGACAATAAATACATGGACGTTAAGTTACACAACTGCAACAGGATGCTGAAATACAGAATTCAAATGTAACATTTAGTTAGATTCCACATTTCATGTATTATATAGAATTTGATGTAACTAAAGCAAAACAAGCAAGTTGTGTGAAAGCTTGTGATGACTGAACAGTATATGCAGTTCATTATTTGCTACTTGAAACTAATTGTGTGGCCATGGTGTTTACACAAAGAAGTGCAAATGTCAAGTCAGAAAAGGGGGTAACTCAGCTGATATGTTAATACACAGCTGGTAAAATGTGCTGCACATCTTAACAGCATTTCATACTCTCAGATTTATTTATTTAAACTTGTCATTGAATTTATTCAATTAGCCAAGCATTTATAGAAATGTTCATTACCAGTAATAGTTATAATTTGTTTTTTTCACGCATTTGGGGGGAAGGGGAAAAATGTGACATATAGTCAATAATTATGATTCCTTGTGGTGAACCTGGAATATTAGTAATGGACAAATTACTATCATAGCTTAAAACACTAAAGCTATTCACTGTATTGTACACTGAAGTTACAAATGTATGAATTTAACTTTTTTAAATGACTTTATTTATAAAGTGATAAACATAAAAACGTAGGACCCGCAGTCAGTACAGTATGTTCTCACACTCCTGAGAAGACATGTTCTTGCAGTATAGTGATTTGATATGAAGCAAAGGAAGATTATTTTATATAATCATGAGTACTTAGGGTCTAAAGTGTAACATGCATTTGTATAATGTGCGGCTTTGGCTTTTAGGAAAATGTTATGTAGAATGTTGACAGTTTTCCAACATTTCAACAGATATTGCAGTTACCGTCTTCAGGGTTAATGGCTTGGAAGGGGGGCACCTCTTATGTATATCTTGCATTAGGCAGTACATCAGAGGTGAGGCTGTGACTGAACAGCCAATGTCCAGACTGACCGGCCCTGTATCATCAGGGGATCCACTGAAATAACAGAACACTTCTGAACCACCTTCAACCAACAGCCACTGAACTCACTTTCCCATTCATTTGGGAAAAAGAATAAAACGAATCTTTCATTGCTCCTTTCCTAACACAGGGTCCCTGAAACTTTCTTTTTCATTTCTTGGGATTATCTTGCCACCAAAACATTTTTCATTCGCTTTCCGGTAACCACGTGGTTGCTACTGGGTAGCATCCCCCCCCATCCTCTGGTGATCAGATCATTGCTTTACATCTGGCACACTGCCTAATGTGAGCCCCCCCCCCCCTAACCCTGAAGATGGCAACTGCAGTGTTTGTGCTTAAATGGGAAACCTTCAGCTTTCTATGTGGCACGTTACTGAAATACAAATTCTGAAGCCTCATATTAAGCTATGATGTTACCGGGTAAACAAAGGGAAAGACATTCCATATGAGATATGCAGAGGTCGGCAGAAACCTTGTATGTGGTTTATAATGTGAAGAGAATGGCATTCATGGTTCATTTCTGTAGAGAAGGAAAATGTTGCAGTAAATATCTGAATCTATAGATCATATTTGTGCAGCATAAATTTTACAAGTTGTTTTACTCCATCATCTGTATTGTTCAATATTTGTGAAATGTTCTGGATTTTAATTACCACATGTAGTTGGATGTTGTGTTCATGTTTCCATGTTAACAGAATTCTTGTTACAGCAGTTTGCCTCCCTTTCAGCCATTTAGAACAGAGTACAGCACAACGTTACTTGTGTGGTTTGTTTGAAACTGGGTATAATTGGGGTGGTTGGGATGTGATGCCGTTCTATTATGCAGGCTGTATGGGGCATCTTACAAAAGCTGATCTAAATAAGAATCTGTAAGAAATCTATCAACACAATAAAAAAGTGTTTCTTTGTTTTATGACAACATAAGATTCCTTCACAGTCTCCTCAGGGTTACTGTATGATGAGAGCTCCTGGCGTTTGGACGTGACCTCGCAAATCTACTTGAAGAGAAGTGTTTCAGTCTGAAATTTGTCACAAGTATCAGGTGTTAAGTACTCCACCAATTTTCTTCTTTTCAAGCATGGCCCTTCCAGATACTTTTAGCAAACTGCAGTAGGGTTTGACGTCACGGACGCTGTCGACTTGCTCTTTGAATGAAGCATCCTTTAAAGGAGTTCAGGCGGACATCTATTTCTCCCTCTTCCAGCTGGAAAATAAAATTCAGATTTTCGGATAAATCTAGCTGCAGATAAGCTTTCAGCTGTCTGAAATAATGTCATAACACTTCTTTATACAGCAATGGATAGTGGACTTATACAAGTTTTTATATATTCTTCCAGTATGTCATGAATTACGAGGTCTGACTATAAAGCTATAACAGTGGTGCTATTGCATCAAAAGTGAAGTGAGTCATGTGCAATTCATCTTAGAAATTCAATGATGAAGTTTCCAAAATTACGATTCGTTTCCTAACCTGGTGTTACATGTGATCCATTTAAGTTTATATCAAGAACACAATGCATGAAATTCCTGGAAACCGAGTGGATGCATATGAAGCACTTTTAGACGTAGATTAAATTCAAAATGGCAAGAGTTCTTTCTTGATGTATATGAGTTGGTCCAGAGACTTAAAGGATAATGTTTTGACTAGAGAGTTGTCAGCCCTCTTATGTTAGAATTCTATATCACCTAGTGCACTAGCTTCTGAAATATTCACTTTCATGCCATATGTAACCTATGATGTGCATGTAGCACACTTATGTTTTTGCCTGGCCCCATCTATAATATCTCAAATAGTGTTGGCCAAGGCAACAGAAATCCAGTAATATTAGACAGTCTTCATATTTTCATCACTGAACACTCTAGCCACTCCATGTAAATATTTAATTTACCTCTTACAGTGAGGCCACTGTTATACCCCAAATATGACATTCTTACCTGATCTGACTGGTAAATGTCTTGGTAACAGGATGGTGAAATGCATTCTCGCACACATCTCACTCTCGTTATTCCACTCATTTGAGCACAGGTAGGACTTTGCTCACATGCTGACTCAAATTCACGGAATGCCATTTCCTGTAAATACTGCATATTTAAACTACTGCTGTTACTATGGTTGTGTTTGAGTTTAGTACCAATTCATAGCAATTTGACTTACATTTTTGCTGGTTTCTTTGTACTGGAATTCAGGAAAGGTAAAAGCAGCTTTTTTGGTACCTGTTGCATGTACGGTTCCCAAAACACATGTGATTAATAATGCAATTACGGTCATGATCATCTCCCCTGACTGCTTTAAAAAGCTGCTGGAAACATTTTCAATTATTATACCTCGAAGAACAGCATTAAAAGAAAACAATGTACTACTACTGCATTGATGTTTTATAAGAGAATCATTACAAAGTCCATATATCGTAATCCGCCCTCTGTTCGCGTCAGCAATTAATTAAGTTTATGTGATGCTGAGAAACGTACCACTCCTACAGCCCCGAAACTTCTCTGTTAAACTTCCCATTCGAGTTCGAAATTGTTGCATTCCGCTTTTCGTATGTTTTATGGCGGGAGATTTATATTTTGTGATAGTTCTGGAGAGGAACATTTTCCGTATCATTTACAAAATATGCAGAGAGAGCGTAGTATATATTTCTTTCAAGTCAGATATGTTAGTCTAAGGACAATGTATGTATTATAATTATGTTTAAATGAATACACGTAACTACTTTGTTGAACGCGTACTGAAAAGCTAGTGAGTTATTGATCGTGTACTATTATACGTACCCCTTTGCGAGGCTACCTCCCCGCGTGCTTTCGTCCGGGCGACCTCTCACTGGCGGGCAGACTTGTGCAAGGCCACAAACAGACGCTGACGTATACTGTGGTCCGAGAAGGTACTCTTCTTGTTTGATTATTGTTTATTTATTACGCTGTGATTGTGGAATTTATCAGTGTTGATCAGCAGTAGGTGAATAACAAGCATTTGTACGGTGTTCAATATCAAGGTATGTTAAATAGTTGGTGTTATTTATCATGGTTTTACGAAATGTTTTATATTTTCCTGCCTGCACTTTGCATGGTTATGTTTCCCTTCTGTTAATCGGTTTCCTGTTGATGCGGTGGTTGGCAGTAAGAGCGGATGTCAGGATGTCTTGCGTGATTAGAAGTTTTTAAAATAAATTTGTATACTCCGAACTTTTTAAGTCATATTAGTATCAGGAAACTCGTGAAAGGATATCGTGCCTGCGTTAAAGTAAATAACAAAGGCGCATTCTATTTGTTAGAACGTTTTAGAGACATTGGGTAATGCAACATGTTATGCCGTATTTAAGGTGGTGTTGCGCATCCATCTATAGCCAGGCTTTGTTGAAGAAAAAATAATTTAAGAGCCAAATCAGAACTTATACAAGTGAAAAATATTTTCGTAATTTGGTCAAGGCATCACCGACTCACGACAACTGTAAATACGTGTACATACGTTACAAAGAAGCCGTCAAGAAACATCACACCTGTTTTGTAGATGCCGATATTTGCAAATTCAATTCAATTTTTGGTTGTTTAATGTAAACAGTACCTGTTTGTTTTAATTTTCATAATGATCCTGGAGTGTATTGGTGTATGTAAGTGATTTCGTAAGAAATAACAGTAACAGGACAAGTGGTTGTAAATTAAACTGATTTATTGACAATTTGATTTTATCAGTTATTTATTCAGAGTATAAAGTTGTGATGGACGGACGTGTTTTACGTATGCATTTAATTTAGATACTTTTTTTTTACAATTCGCATAGTGGAGGGTTGAATCCAGGTGGGTCCACTCGGCACGTCTGCCACTGACTGGCCTATTGTACCTGTCCCGGGTGATTTTGGTGATGGAGAATTTGGTGGAATGAAGATTGGAAGGGGAAACCGAAGTACTTTGAGAAAACCTACCCCAGCGCCACTTTGTCCACCACAAATCCCACTTGACCAGATCCGGGCTCGAACCCGGGCCGCCGCGGTGGGAAACCAGCGACTAACCGCTTGAGCTATGGCGCGGCTAATACAGAGACTTAGGTCATTGTTTTTATTTAGGCTGGACTAGACTAATAAATCGTGAAAGTGAAAAAATGAAGCATAAACACGTGGTTGAACTTGGTGTGTCACTTGTTTTTTTTTTTTTTTTTCGTTCAGATGATCCAGCTGTAGACAGTTTGCCAGATTTGTTGCTTGTGCCAGCTGCACAAATAATTTCAAATTTTAAACTTGTGATTATATATTGCATGTAATTTCTTCTCTACTGTACCTAGTTTGAATCATAATAATGATGATAAATTATGTTAATATTGCCTGGTTAAAGATTCTGAATTTCTCGAACATTTTATTTGATTGGTTACAATCTTCTGCATGTTTTGAGACAGGGAGGTCGGGTATTTGAGAGATATTTTTTTTGTTTGTAAATTTGTTATTTATTAGCTGAACTTAAAGAATAATTTTGACTCATATTATTATAGCATCTTATTTATTACTGCTGTAAATATAAGGCATTGATTAAACATCTGGTATTTGATTCCTCATTCCAACTGGAAACAGTTGCAGTGCAGCAAGTAAATTATTTGAAATGCTTCTGTATATTTTTAAGAATTATTCATGAATGCTTGAGATTAAATTACCCATCATTACAACACACAAAACAAACTCCGTAATTTTAGTCCGCAAGCTAACTATACCGACCGAGCGACCACCGCTTGTCGGCGAATTTTAGAAAGAAATGCAAATTGACTCTCTCTCTCTCTCTTTCCTGTTGCCCCCACTTTGGAGCATAGAGCATCGGCGAAACAACTCTTTCTCTTAAGTTTCTTAATCCTAAGACAGTCGGTAGGACTCCTTGGACGGGGAAGCAGCTCGATGCAAGGCCGCTAATTACAGAACAACACGAACACAGAATAAACGTAGACATCCATGCCTTCAGCGGAATTCGAACCCACGATTCCAATGGTCGAGCGGACGAAGACAGTTCATGGCTTAGACCGGTGTTTCCCAACCTTTTTGATGCCGCGGACCCCCTGTACCGAATGTTAATTGACCACGGCCCCATAAAACCCCAAATGGAAATTTTTTATATTTTACATATCATGAAAGTGAAGCAGTAACTTACAATTTTACAACACTAAATGTGTCATTTATGACAATAAAATACTGTTATAAATGGAGCTTATTCGGAAGATCACGAACATATCAATTAGGCCTATTATTATGAATTTAACGCTCACCTAATCAACGATCCACACTTTAACCACCGATCCGTATCGAAATAAGATCGTGAACAAACTGAAAATCAGAAGTTTCGTTGTGAACTCAATTATTTGAGCAAGAGCAGAAAAACTGAATATTAAACCGAGAAAAACACACTTGTATAATATTGGGGAAATCCACTGCACAAAAACTAAAGACACACGGGTTGTTCGCTCTGCCACTGAAATGAATAAGAAACGTGGTCAATGGTCCCAGCTTTATTCCCAACAAAAGAGGGATGGATTTGGTGGGGAGGGGGAGAATGGTCAGACAGCAGGTAAGGAGGACAACAGTCCACCCTGAAACACGGGTCTGAGATGCAATGGGCGGACGAAAAGAAATTGTCCTTGGAAAAAGCTACACAAATCGTTGGTTATTCACCTCTGCTTTACAAAGGGAAGGTACCGTTACGGTACCAACAGTCCCGTTAAATTGTACTTCAGCCATGGGCCTCAAGAGCCAGAGATATACATTGCAAATATCTCAGGTGTGAAGAACATAAGATAAAGTTTAATGAAAATAAACTATCCCGCGGACCCATTCTGAATTACTCGCGGACCCCCAGGGGTCCGCGGACCACAGGCTGGGAACCACTGGCTTAGACTACGCGGCCACTGTGCTCGGCCATGTAGATTGACCGCAGAGTGAAAATTACTTGGTTTGAATCACCTATTGAAATTTAATTTTATTGTCATTTTAATTGTCTGATTTATATATTATAGAATTAATGTATTAATTTCTAAGTAGTGCCGTAAAAATACCAAAATATACAGGAAGGCCTGCCGAAAATCGCTCGGCCAGTCAGCAGGAGAGAGACTAGCTCCTCGGGCAACTTATCCCGCGCGTGACCGGACATACAGCGCAGTCGACAAGCCCATGGGCCGGCAGATCATAAACAAGATCCACTCAGGTTGCAGCGGATGATGAAAATGGCCCCTGTTACGCGTGCATTCCATGCACTTCCATACTTAGTTTTCAGAGCAAGAGCAAACTTGGAATTCGAATCTAGAAACTCTGGTCTTCTCTGCAAGGCGCGTAAAAGATTTTAAGGGGAATGTTCAAACCTAGTACCAGTTTCATAAAATTTATCTTCAGTGAGCACTGGGCTTTTTTTCTTTCTTCTTTTATGTATATGTCCAATAGTGACCGTGTTTACCTAAATTTACAGCGATTGTATGAATAGCATTTATTTGGAAGCGCCACGTCTTGAACTTATGTTCCAGTTATTTCGTTACTCTTCACATGGGTATTGTACATGAACACTTGTTTTAGGGTATAACTCCCTCACGTGGTATTTCTGCGCAAGAATTAACGCCTCTGATTAAATATTTAAGAGTAGTAGAGGCTTGGGATTGTAGGCTGCAGGCACGTAACACGTAAGCGAGCTTCCCAGTAACTGCTCAAGATTTACTGTGGAGATATTGGAAAGAAATTTCGGTGTGTATAAGCTATTGGCCTGTCGACTACGCGAGTCCGAATGCACCCAGTGCGAAGTGACGCGAGTAGCGTTGTGCCCCTTTCGCCGGACCGGCCGACGGATTTGTAGTAAGCCCGCAAAAATCTCCCTTATTTTGCGTGACCTATTTTTATTAAGATCTATATGTATTTATATATTATATTTAATGGAAAGATCAGAACTCATGCTGGGAACATTGTGTCTGGTTCAGTGCAGTGTTTGAAAATTCAGGATAATGTATGTTTGCACTGGCTAACTATAACAAGCATAGCAATCACATTGCATAGTTGTTTATTTTGAAATTAAATTTTAGCAGTTGTTTAGGCCTTTAGTAGAATATTAATATTTATGTGAATAATAATAATAATTAAATTCGTGTTTATTTACGTGCAAACTTAACAGCACAGTGGCCAATTACAAAGTTAGCACGAGTACATAGAAATACACAAAAATAATTAAAGAGCAAAATACGAAATATTACAGTCTACATAATAGCAATAAAATAATAATTCTATTCAGTTCAATTCTTTATTATTTATGTGCCGAATCAACAGCCGCAAGGCCAATTACAGACACAGCACAGTGTAGATAGAAGTAATTACATTATTGACAAACACAACATAAAGTCAAAGACAAATTACAGGCATGCACTGGGGAAAACACAATATTGTAGAAAAGTAAACAAACAAACAATGATAATAATAGCAATAATAATTTCATTAACATAAATCTAAGTGTTACTGAGAAGTGAGAAATGAAACATATAAATATTTAATTAAGAAATGAAAAGTATAGATTTTCAGAGATGATAATAATAATAATTCAGTTTATTTTATTGTACATGCAAATAATAATAATAATAATAATAATACTAACAATTATACTATATTTAAAAATCGTTTGGGGAGAACATTCTTGGCTCCGAATACGTCAACATCCCTGCAGACAACACTAGCACTGCTGCACATCTAGCAGAGGGACAATTTTTGTATGAGGAGCAAAAATTGAACAGTGCAAAGTCTCTGATATACCGAGCAGGAACTCTGAGACCAACAATTTCCAGAACAGAAGGGCAGAATTTCGAGCCAAAATAAACGTGAATAAGAAAGAGAGCATCAAAGCGATGTCTCCTAGTACGCACAGTATGAAATTTTAACTCCTCAAGGGCAAGATTAATATTAATAACAGTAATAATAATTACTCTTAGGCAACAGACCAAAACAGGCCTGTAAATGTCCGATTTCCTTCACGATGAATAACAGTGCTAAAATATTTG